CAAGTACATGCTGCAAGCTAATGGAGCATATAATAAACAGAGCGCTTATGAACTATCTAGAGAAAAATATTATGCTTTACCCGAACCAACACGGTTTTAGAAGGAAGCTTTCGACCGCTACACAACTTTTGGAGATTACTCATGACTTTGATTTAGCCATTAATTCTAGACTGCAAATAGGTGCAATATTTATTGATTTTTCTAAGGCATTCGACCGCGTCCTGCACTCGTTGCTCATACAAAAACTTGAATCATTTGGGGTTAACTAAAAAATAGTCCATTGGATTGCCGCTTATCTTTCCAACCGCACCCAGTATGTTTCTTTTAATGATGTCGAGTCCGACCGTGCCGACGTGTTCTCCGTGCCGACGTGTTCTCTGGTGTTCCCCGAGGGTCCGTACTAGGACCAACACTCTCTCATATACATCAATGACATCTTCACTGCTATGAAATGAGGTATTACAATGAGGCTTTCTGCAGATGACTGCATCATATACTCTCCCACTAGCACAACAGAAGACCAGGTGAAACTTGACAAATCTTTAGAAAAAACTCCCAAGCATTTCCCTGAGGGTGAACATGATTAAGTGCGAATGCACGGGGTGATGCTATGAGGGGTATTTATTAATTCGCACTATTATATTTATTAATCACACTATGGTTCCTTTGTGGTGTAATGGTTCCTCGGAATCGCAATTTGATCACACGGTGGAGTTTACGTTAACTCACTGGCGAATGCGGGAACGTCCACTCGCCGTTGACGATTGCGAGCGGAGTCTTGACGCCAGCCTTCATCGCCCTTCTCCGCCCGACGCTTGCGTTGTCGTTCCGCTTCTTGGGCCGCGTTCGCGGCTCGACGCTGACGCCTCATCTCGGCCTTGCGAGCGCGCAGTTTACCATCCGCTGCACGCTTCGCCCGCTTGTCCTCGGCCTCGCGAGCGCGAAGTTCGGCATCCTCTGCACGCTTCGCCCGCTTGTCCTCGGCCTCGCGAGCGCGCAGTTCGGCATCCGCTGCACGCGTCGCCCGCTTGCACTCGGCCTCGCGAGCACGCAGTTCGGCATTCGCTGCACGCTTCGCCCGCTTACGTTTGGTCTCACGAGCCCTTTACAGCGCCGCCTTGTCTTCCAACGTCGGCGAAACCACCGCGGTACCGTCACCTCTACCGACGGGTGCAGTGCTGGCATTCGGTTGTACTGCATTCGTTGTTGATGGTAGCGTTGCCTCCGGGACATCCATCGCACGACCCGCTCTCGACAGGAGACTGAGAGAGAAGGCGGGCGCGCGAGAGAGAGGGGTGCGCGCGCAGCTGCAGCGAGCGAGGAGAGCGGAGGAGCGAGCGAAGGGGGAGGGGGACGCGCGCAGCGGCGTTAAAGATATAAGGCGCGTTACTGACACCGATATCAGCGTCGCGTTCGTGGCTTATTTGGTAGAGCGTCGCGCTGCGGCCCGCCAAGTCCTGTTTCTTTTAAAGATAGACAGAAGACTGCGGACGCTGCCGACGGCGGTGGATGGTTTGGGGTCGCTTATAAAGTGTATTCACACTTAAAATATTGGGCAATGGTGTGAAAAACATGGCATGCAAATTAATACAGAAAAAACCATGTGCATTACAATTTCCCATAGAAAGACACCACTTCACTTTCAGTACACCCTCTCTGGAGCAGACATCAAGCACGTAAATACCATGAAGTACCTGGGGGTCACAATAACATCATCATTAAAGTGGGATGTCCACATTAATCAAAGTTCTGCACGTGCATTCAAACAACTAGGTTTTTTAAGGCGTAAACTGACCGGAACTTCCCCTCAAGTTAAACTAACAGCATACAAGATGCTCATTAGACCCGTCCTGGAATATGCAGCAATAGTTTGGAACCCGCACCAAAAGAAGGATGATGAAGGATGATTACCTTAAAGCTCCGCACCGTCACTCCAGTAGAACTAACAATGACAAATGCATACGCCTATTCCTGTCACGTTGAAGTATTTTTTTTTTTCCCGCAGCTATAGAGATGTGGAATGACTTGCCGAATGACGTCAGTGCACAATCACCTGAATCATTTTCATTGCTGTTGGAAATTCATTTAGAAGCATTGCAATAAATCCTGTGCTATCTTCGCCGAAATAAAGGTTGAAACAGTGTATCGCGCATATGCTCGCACATTGCTACACGTGCTAAACCGCCTGCCTGCATCTGTGTATCAATGTTACCGATGATGTTATCATGCTAAGTATTTTTTTTAGTGAAACACATGTGCATTGTTCGTTTATTGCTTTATACTGTTATATCGTTGTTTTTGCAGTTTGTGTTGCATATTTTCCATTTCTTTTCACCTCGGCGAAATGAAGTGTCATTTGCTCTGTACACCCTCTCTTCTATAGGCCTGAAAAGGCCCACAGTATTGAATAAATAAATAAATAAATAATAATAAATGGGCAATTATGAAGGAAATCCCTGTTTATGCACAGCCTGGCGCAGCAGGTCAGACTGGTGCAGAAAGGCGCAATTGGAGCAGCACGTCTACCCCTTAGCAGTGCATTACAGGGATTGATTTTTCTAATACTGTACATACATTTCCTCATTTTCTTCCGTATAGTTGCACAAAATGAAAAACATGGAAGCCAAGAACCAAGTTGCTGTAGTTACAACTGCCACCTCTCTTCTATGCAGCAATACAACAGCGTTTATGTAACACACAATGAGATTTGATATTGCATTCGTTGAACTTGTGTGGAAAGCAGTGGCTTGGTTGCAGTATTCAATGTCTCACAATTCAAGGCGAATATTTGCATTTTTTACTGCTTTCAGCATGCTGTACAACTACTGCAAAGACTGTTGGGAGGGTAAAACACAATACAAAAAGGGACGACTTGTTAAAAAGCATGGTAATATCATTTTTTTTTCTTATTTCAGATCCACTTTTTCCAACTGCTTCATTGTGCAGACTTTTTAGCTGCCCTTTCCCTTTGTAAGTGCCTTGCAACACTTTTTCAAGCAACCACCAAATGGCTTCATTAAAACAGTATTGCCTCATGTATCAACCACCAGAAAAATTTTCAGAATCTGTCAGGTAAAGGTGGAGTTAATAATTGTTGCACACTGTAATTCCTTTTTCTCTTTTGTCCCAATGAGCACGTTGGAAGCTAAGCAAGGAGGAATGGCACAGAGGGAAAAAAGTTGCTTCATAGGTACGTATTATGACCTTCAGCCTTTTTACTTTGAATGTGCGGCTTACTTTCAGTGTGATCTCAAGCACACGCGGCTGCAGTAACTATGCAACTCATAAAGCTCAAATCAGTCAATGACTCTGCATTTGGATATATGGAAGAGTCATTTGGGTATATGGCAACATTCGTAGAAAGAAGAGTGAATGATTTCTAGCTCACTGAGAATTGTAAATTCCAGGCCACATGCTGTGATATGTTTAGATTGTGTATTCTAAAAAGTCTTGATTACCGATCGGGAAAGTTTTTTGCCCTCGTAGGAAAAGTTGCGGGGCTGCCCCCTTAAGACACCCTGTAAAAGTGCATCACAATTTTTCGCTTTCTTTTTATCGACAGTTTGCATGAATGTGAAAGGCATGCCCGAATATTTGAGCTCAAACATCAACAGCCAAGATGCAATTGCTTCAAAATGAGAAATAAACTGAGAACTACCAAAAAAAAGTGCTCAGGGTGAATGACCCTTTATACAGCTTAACCCGTATGAACTGGTGTTGTTGGCACTAGTATACAAAACTGAGGCCAACATTTTGTGACGTGTAAAAACGTGAGCATCGAGGGCTAATATTACCGAAGTTCTGTTGTTCATGGCAATAAAATAATAAATAATATCTGCGGTTATACATTCCAAAAGCACAGCATGATTGTTAGAGAGGCTTTAGAGGAGGGCTCTGGATATTTCAACTATTTGGTGTTTTTAATTTACACCTAAATCTAAGTACAGTGCACTCTCAGTAAACGTAAATCAGTTAAATGAAACTGCTTCTTAAACGGAATAGCTGCCTCTAGCACAATTGGTTTCGCACCCGACTTCTGCACCCAAGCCTCTCAGTTAACGAAACTCCTGTTAAACGAAACACATTTTCCTGGTCCCTTACTGTTCCGTTTACCGGGTGTCTACTGTACATGGGCCTCGGGCACTTTTACCTCTATCGAAAATGCAGCCACCACAGCAGGGATTTGATCTCACGACATGAGGACCACTTTCACAAAAACTTTAGCGTGTGTATTCACAAAATATTTCTTGTTGACAACATGCCATCTGCTATGAATTAAAGGACCTAACTATACTCAGATGATAGGAAAAGCAGCTCTTGATTTTTTAAAATACAACCGTCTTTCTTGGAGTACTTCGACACAAAAATTTTGGTCTGTCTGTACATTTACGTGTTTGTTCACTGTAACGATACCCCAAACGGCCAACCCCATCCACAGTGCCCACCAATATTGCTCCAGTTTCAGCGTTCATACTTGTGCGATTGTCAATTAAAAATCGGTTATTGCGCATATTTGAGGCACCATCATGACACGTCAATATTTTGTATGTGTGTCTTTATACTAGAGAAGTAATTCTAAGGACCGTAGCGTGTATCAAGATTGCGCTGTCAATGCAGCGCGATACTCAAGAAGGCAAGTGTTTCCAACGCTTTGCTAAGGCGGCACGGTGCTGGAACCTACCCATCGCTTTGCATTCTACACCTTATCGCCTCTGAGACAGGCACGCACGCCTTCCTTAGCTTTCGAAGATAACTGCCAGATAGTGCTCGTGTATAACGTGCCTCGATGTGCTCGTTCACCTTCGCTGCACGGATCGAGACTCTCTGGCGCAGCGCCTCCAGAATACCATTCACAGATTTTTGTCGCGCAGAACAGCAAATGAACATTTTGTTCACTCTCTTCAGATGCAAGACTATCGTCTTGTGATGACATTTGCAGTGAAACATGAAGATACAGGGCCAATTTTTAAAAATTTGACTTCACACAAGTAGAAACTTACCTATTCATAATGCCTTAAGAAGCCTCCACAACGCTCCTCAGAGTTTGTGAAACTGTGTTCAGCTCCTCTTCAAGGTTCAATATCATGCCTATAGAATAGAAAAGAAAAAAACATATCAGATTACAGCATAGACCACTTACAACTTAAGTCACTGGAATCACAATCATCTGCACTATAAGCAATACCACACTCTCAAATCAACATCTTTGAAAGGCTGCACATCTGCAAAACAAAACAACAGGCAGCTATGTTATTCTCACTATCGAGGCATGCGACTTGATGGTAATGTCCGTGGGCTTGCGGTGCCTGCACAACGAACACACATAAAAACAAAACATAGTTGAACCTCTCATCATAGGAATTGGTATAACATGAAAGTGAAATGTGCCCTTACAAAGGTAGTTCGATGTTTATAGTAGATTGACAAATGAGAGCTTTCACAATGTCTTCTTTGGCAGCTATAGCACGGCTTTACCCTCTCTATCGTAGCCCCCACATAATACCTGGACAAAACATATCAATAAAGTGGAATCAGGCTAGCAAATGCATCGCCTTTAAAATTTATTTGAAATCCTGGTGTGGCATGCAGAGCCGATGAAGGACGGGTCCCAACATAAAACATAATAATCATTTATTAACGTGGTAGCAGATGCAGGGCAAGCATGCAGATGCTGCGCTCGAAGCGTTAGAGATACAATCAGTGAAGTGAGCCAGGCAGCTTGGGTCTTATAGTCACCTGTGGTGACGTCAGCCTCCGGTGAAAATACGGTGGTGCTGTCCCTTATTAGACGCGTGTTGCAGCATGCGGCCGAGCCACGCTGGCTTTGCCGGTTTGTGCACAGTGTGTCGCCCCACTGGCACTACTTCCACATTTAATAAAAAGATCTAGTATATGATGATGACAATGTGTGGTGCTTTACAGTGCAAGAGCCAATTGATGGCCAAAGAGTGCCATTTCAGTAGACAAGAGATGTGAACAATTATATGGTACCTGGCTGTATAGGGACCTTAAAATTTCTCGCACTAATGCGGGTAAAAACAGAAGTATTAAAATCATGAGAGTGAAGTGAAATACTATGTGCAAAGAGAGTGCATGGCGAAAGGTCATGATAATAAAACCATGGTGGGGATGTCGTCACTGCAGCCGCGACCGTGGTACAAAGGTCGTGCTACGGATCACCTAGGAATATAGAGTGAAAACTATATACATCATTTAAAAACGTAAGCAGTGATTGAATTTTAAAAAGCAGATCCCTACCGGTGAGCACGACAGGGTGGAGTGGGAGCTGCTGTCTGCAGGGAAGTAAAAGTGCTTTTTTCTTTGAGCATTTAACTCGTTGCACTAAACGAGGATGTTGACAGCCAAAAGTGGTTCTCCACACTTCTCACACAATGGTGGATCGCTGGCAGACAAAAGGTATGAATGTGGAGAGTGAGTATGTTCTGTTCTTAGCCTTGTAAGTATTACTTTTGTGTGTCGAGATTTTCATAGTGGTGGGCAATTACAAAATTTTGGCTCAAAAGCATGGAGTTTATTGTCCGTGTGTCTATCCCATGCGCTCTGCCAATAGCTCCAGCGCTTTCGTTTCTGAAAAGGCTTCAAGTCAAGTGCAGGGATTGGTATTGATGCACTAGGCAGCGGTGTCATTGGCGGACGCAGCCAGCTTGTCCACCAAAACGTTTTCTTGTATCTCATGGTGCCCTGGCACCCAGCAGATGACGACATGCTGTTGGGATGTGTACACTGTGCGCAAAAGTGAGTAAAGCGAGACTAAGACAAAGTTTTTGTGTTGTTTAAGAGTTTTCAGAGCTTTTACCACACTTCGGGAATCTGTGTATATTACAGCCTTTTGTAGTTTCATCTGTTTGATGTGTGTTTTGACCGCCAGTATCACATAAGCTTCCCTGTTAAAGTGCTCGTATCAGGATGAAGAATGCCGGCCTCTGAAAAGGACTGGACTACTGTTGCATATGACATAGAAGCATTGGACTTCGGTAAAGAACTCGTGGCATGTATATTTCTCTTGCAGTTTGAGAAAATATGCGTGCTTTGTGACTTCCACAAAAGAGACATCACAGTCCATAAGCTGCCACTGCTACGGCGGCAGATATGCAGCAGGAGCCATCACAAACTTTTCGAGAAGTAGCACACCTGTTTCCTCGGCGAAGCCCCTCACATGCAGTGAGTAGGGCTGCCTCAACGAAGGACAGTTCTGGAACAAGCTAGAATTAGACAAATAATTAATTGCGAAATACGAGGAGTGTTGCTTGTCTGCTTTCACTCTCAGAATGTACACAAAAGACAGGTAATATCTCTGTAGGTGGAGCAACCATTTATTCGATTTCAGATACACTCTTTTCACGGGGCTAGTGCGAAAAGCGCCGGTAAAAAGGCGAATGCCCAAATGGTGCACAGGGTCCAGCGTCTTGAAAGCACTTGGTGTCGCAGATTTATAAAGAATGGCCCCGTAGTCTAGGCAAGCGTGAATGAAGCTTTTGTAAATATTGAGAAGGCAATTCTTGTCACTACCCCACGTAGTTCGAGATAACGCTTTCAGAATATACATGGTTTCTAGACACTTATTTTTGATATGCTTAATGTGTGGTATGAAGGTCAGTTTTGAGTCTAATAGTATGCCCATAAACTTATGCTCAGTCTTTAGAGACAGACGCTGACCATGCAGGTTGATGTCAGGATCAGGGTGAAGGCCCCTCTTTCTGCAGAATAAGACGCAAGTTCTCTTTCGTGCATTCAATTTAAACCCATTCTCGTCTGCCTATTCCGAGACCTTGTTCAAACCCAATTGAACCTGGCGTTCCACATAGAGAGGTTACATGATATAAAACCAACCAGTATATTATCTACATAAGTGCAGTAAAACATTGTGTGGGATGGCGAGACGCAAGAAGTTCATTTTGACTATAAAAAGCTCGCAGCTCAATACACCTCCCTGCGGCACTCCCGTTTCTTAGACAAATGTATGGGACAAGACAGTGCCTACTAGAACATGGAATGCCCGATTGGACAGGTAGCTTTCTAATATTGTTAACGTTCTACCCCGCACACCTAAATGTGGCAAGACTAAGTATGCCAAAGCCCCACGCAGTGCCAGAGGCCTTCTCCATATTGGGGAACACAAAAAGAAAAAATTGTTCATGAATGAAAACATCAAGAACTTGTGCCTCAGTATGGTCAGTAGTGAATTTAACCTCTCGACACCAGCACTGGTATGGGTCAAGCAGGCTATTTTTAACGAGGAAGGGCATCAGTCATCTGTTTACCATTTTTAAAGAACTTGCAAAGGCAGCTCGTCAACGCTATGGGCCTGTAGCTTGATGCTGAAGATGAGTCCTTACCCTGTTTATTTAAGAATCAGAATAATGATGGCTTTTTCCCAGACGGAACGCAACTCACCGGAAAACTAAACGGCATTATACAAGCAAAGCAGGGCTTTTTGGGCTTCAGGGGGCAGATGTTTAAGCATTTCGTATATCATACGGTCGGAGCTTCGGGCGGTTCTGTTACAGCGGTTTAGTGATGCTTGTAACTCAGTTAAGATGAAAGGTTCACTGCATGCGCTATTGTTTGTGGATTTAAATTCTATTTTTTCTATTGATTTGTAGCGTTGGAACGCTGGACTGCAATGGGATGAGCTGGAGACCTGTTCGAAGCGTGCACCGAGGGAGTTTGCTAGGTCTGTGATGCAGTGCGCGGAATTGAAAGTGGTTGGAGTGCGCGGAACTTGATATGGATTGATTGAGCGGAATTTGAAGTGCCCGTGTGACCCAAGTTGGCACTCGGCAACGAGGACGAAGCTGGCACAACTGTGAACCAACAAACGATAAACGAATGAAGCGCCAGTTCTACGCAGCGATTGTTTGAAGCACACGCAAGACAGAACAAAAAGAGGAGTCGCAGCGGTGGCCAGAGGAAGACGAGCCACGTATCAGGGCAGTCGGGTTTCCGACCCGAGCCAAGGCTGCTCCCTCCATCGTCCGGTGACCTGAGAGGCTCCGGACTACCAGGCTGCGCTGACGTTCCCGTGCCCGTGGACTGGTCTGAGCTGTCAATTTTCGGGCTCGAGCTCAGGCGAGGCTGTCCGGCCGGGACTCTACCTCGAAGCCATTGTGTGAAATGCATCGTCAGCTGGTGCAGCGCTTGTCAGAAGCCTAGGAAGGCTGCTTCTTTGGCGGCTCGTGTGGCTGCCCAGCCCCGATGAAAACTACGACAACAACAGCATCAACCCCCGTGCTTCGTGCAAGGCTTTCACTCAACGACGTGGGTGAGACCCCGCTTCTTTGCAACTCTCTGTAACCAGCTCTATGCAGGGACTGAGTGGTAGGACTTGATTATGAGTGACTAACTTATAGCATGTAGATTTTTTTGTAACTGTATCTGGGGGGTAGGACGAGTTATATTTGGGTTAAGTGTTCTCAAGCTATAGTCATTAAATGTTTGCGTCAAACGGACTCGTCCTCCGGGAGGTGTCTTGAGGTCGCTCTTCGGACCTCCCAAATCGAACCTGCACCTTGTGCGAAACAAAGAAACCACAATGTTAGTCTTCCAAACACTTGCCTCGTGTGTACTAGAGGAAGTGGATGTGTTTCTTGTTCTAATACCCTACTGACCATGCTCCAGATTTTTGCCTCACGTGTGCACGAGTTGATGCAGGATAGAAACTTCAGCCAGCTCTCCCTTCTCGCCTGTCCATGCCTCGAGAGTTGGTTTTTAAAATTGACAAGATTCTCGGTGGTCAGCGAGTCTCGAAGCAGCCTCCATGCTTTGTTTTGTTGATTATGTGCATTGAGACACTCACTGGTCCACCAGGGCCTGCATCATTTTATGGGTAGCCAAGGTGCTTGCGGAATACACTTAGCTGCAGCTTCAATCAGAAAAGCAGTATAGAACTGTAACGATGGATCTACGACCGCATATGTCAGTCCAACTTAAGCTAGTAATCTCACAAAACTGGTCCCAATCGGCTTTTTCAATGAGCCATTTGGAAACGTGTGCAGGACACTCTGATGATGATGTACTCAAAATTAATAGAAAATGGTGATTTCCGTAAGGATTATTTATGACTTTTC